CTCAAGCGCCTACAACTTCCACTCGAGCGCCAAGGAGGACTTTGAACCCAAAGAAGAGAGTATGATGACTACCGCGACGCAGAGAAGAGAAGAAAATGCACCTACTTCTAGTGAGAATAGGAAGGACAAAGGTCTTTTAGAAACTAAAGAAGAAACAAAAGGCGAATGTGGTTCAAGAATTAATGGAGAAGGATACAAGGAGCAAGGATGTAACTCTATATGAGCATTTGGCAGTGGAAATGATAGATTGTAGGCGAAGAAACGCAAACCACAATCAAATGTTTTTCTCCGGATTCGACAACTCTTTTCCCAGATATTTGCGCTGAGGACCTCCTCCAACAAAATGGAGACTTTTCTTGTCCTGGATTAGAGGATTGGCTGATGATCTAATCACGGAGTAACAAGGGATCAGTAACACGTAGTCAGCATGTTCTCGCCTGTATTAGAACATTTCATCTATCAACAGAAGCTTCTATTGATATTTAATTAATATGTCCATCTACTCAAAGCAAAAGGCCTAAAAGCTCCTCAACAAAGTCATCCATCTTCTAGAAGTAAAAAATTTCCACATTTGGACGCGGACGCTTTTGGCTTGTGCAAAATTCATCCCCTGAAACTCACATTTTCCAGGAAATTCATTCCACCACATAACTCATTGAAATTGGCCAAATTCCACTCTCTATAAATAACAGACTACTCTTCCATCATTTCCATAAACAACTCCCTGCATTTCCAAGTTTCATATCCTACAAAACCCAAGTCCTCAATTTTCTTTTCTCTCATATCAGAAAAAGAAAAACTAAGAAACATGGCTGAGAAGGCTTATCCTGCAGTCCCGGCAAACCATGGTTACCAAAGAAGTGATGCAGAGTCTTTGGAAAATGCTGATGAGCTGAAACGCAAGAAGAAAATCAAATTGGCCATATATATTACTATTTTCGTTGTGTTTCAGATCATAGTTATCACCACAATGAGTCTCACTGTAATGAAAGTCAAGACCCCCAGGTTCAGGCTAGGCAACATCAACTTCCAGAGCTTCGAATCTGTCCCGGAAACACCTTCATTCGACACAAAATTCACAACCCAAATCAAGATCAAGAACTCAGCCAACTGGGGTTCCTACAAGTTCAATGCTGCCAATATCACGTTTCAATACCGAGGCACGACTTTGGCAGTAATTGATGTCGCAAAGGGCAAGGCTGGATGGCTTTCGACCATAAAAAGAAATGCGGAGGTGAGTTTGAATTCAAGTCGAATAACTGGTTCAAATCTGGGCAGCGAATTGAGCAGCGGGGTGTTGACGCGCAACAGCGTAGGCAGATTGAATGGAAAAGTTGCAATTATGTTCATCATGAAGAAGAAGAAGGCTGCCAACATGAACTGCACTATTGCCTTTGATGTGGCAGCCAAGACGCTCAAATCTTTACAATGCAAGTGAAGACAGACTAGTTATTTTGTAGACCGTACGTTTGTGATAGGCCACATCTCTATAATGATGTGGATTTTGGATTGATGAATACTTGTTCTTGGATTTTTTCTCTTCATTGATGTTATATGTTTCCATAGCTATGAGTGACACTTGTATTTATTGTAGAATTATACTGCTACTTTTACTTTTTTTAATCACTAACGTGTTTTTCTTTTCACTGGGATTGTGCATTCGTTTGATTTTGGCAAATTAATCGGTTTGCAACTACCTTTATGTTCATCAAATGGTTTAAATCATGCATCTTGTTTATCCAATGAGGCCAATATTTGCAGAAATGGGTTAGGATCAATATCTTCAACTGGAGGAGCAGGATTAGGGGTCTACGTTTTCCTTTGTTCTCAAACCCCATATATATTGTTAAAGAGAAATGAGCATATGAGAGATACAGAACGAAGACAAAAACCTAAATCAAACAAAGAAAACATGTATACGGTGAAGATTGGACTAGGAATTAGTCACCTGAGGCATCTTTTGTGAAACCTCCATTTGGCTTGAGATGCAAATTAGAGCTCAACTTAGAAGCTTATACAGAAAGCATCTCCCTTTCATCAATCTTCAATAATATGTAAAAGAAAGTTAAAAGAAAAAAGGTGGCCTCTGGTTAAAGTAAATAAATAAATAACAGTATAGTTCTGCCACAAATTAATAAAATCATGAACTATAGTGTTGAATTGCCTTTGTTGACAAATCAAATGAGATGTTACAATTGCAGACTTCTTTTTCTTCATTATGAACATCAGTTTCACTTTTCCAGTCAGCTTGGCTTGGCTGCTCAGTGTCAAGACCCCAGTGCTCCACTCAGTGCCAAGATTGGAATTGCTTGGCAATGTTCATTGGAATTCAAATTCACTGTGACATCGATTTTTTTGGTGGAGAGCATTCACGCCTTGGTACTGAAACGTGGCAATGCTTGCATCGAACTTATAGGGACCCCAATTTGTGTTCTTGACGAGGATTTGGGTCGTGAGGCTTGTGTCAAATGATGGTGTTGCTACCACAGAGTTAAGACTTTGGACATTGATATTGCCTAACCTGACCTTCTTAACTTTCATGCAGTGAGTCCAAACATGGTCATGAGAATGACATGAAAGCCCCAATGTAAATTGTAAATTCGGTTCTCTTCTTGCGTTTCTGCTCATCAGTGGATTACAAAGATTCTGCATCACTTCTTTTCCATGTTTCCTTTTCTTTTCTGATGCAAAAGGTGAACTAAAGTTCTCTGTTTTTGTTGTTGGTTTGTTTTTCTGGGATGAAACTTAGGAAATGCAGGTATTTATTTGTGTTACACATACAGTGTTTGAACTTAACAAGCATAGTGTAGAGTTTACGAAGAAAAGGGTAAAATAAAATTAAGAAATGTGTTACATCGTCTCTGTACTTTTGTAAGCTTCAAAGAGATCCAATTGTTTGTGTTCTAGGCAAAGCCCTTATGCCGACATAGATTCCTATTATTCTATACTTATGTTTCTATCAGTTTAATATCTGGAAATAGATTTATAGTGCAAATACTTTCTATATTTCTGTTATTCTAAACTTGAATTATCACTGTTACATTGCAACAGACGCATTTCATTATATATATTGAGAAATTATTAACTTATTAAGAATTAAATTAAGTTCCTTAAATCCTTAGCTTTATTGGATTAGTTAAGGCCTCTGCAACTTTCAAGCTTTCCAGCCCAGATCATTCCCTTTTGTAAGACTTTCAAGCTCTCCAGAATTAAAAAAACAGATAAATTTTTTAAAAACATCTTAAACCTGCCAATACATTTTGACCAAACAAGCGATAGTATTTTATTAGATCAATTGAAAACGTAAATAGAGAGCCATCAAGATTAGCAACACAATAGACATGGGTAAAGCTTCCCTAGTGCCAATACTATTCACTAGGTGATTAGCAAACTGTATATAATAGATCCCACATCACGTTCTCACCTGTCACTGCCAGTGGGAGATTTGGTCAATTGCAGACAGAGAGATTCGAAGCTTCTATTGATATTTATAATATTTCCATCATCTCATGACTCGTAGAGAAAAGCCTAAAAGGTCCTCAGCTGCATCAAAGTCATTGATCATCTATCTAGAAGCCAATAATTCCCACCTTTGGCTTTGTACGCGTTTGTTGTCTCAAATAAAATAAAAATCCATCCCTTGAAATTTACATTTTCCTGGAACTTCATTCTATTCTATCACTTAACTTAACGAAAATAGGCCAAGCTCCAAACACTATATATAACAAGCCACTCTTCCTTCATTTCCACAAACACCTCCCTCAGCTTTCAAGTTTCATCCTAGAAAACAATACCCCACAAAGCAAAAGCAGAGAAACTTTCTTTCCAATTTCATATCAGAAAACAAAAAATAAGTTAACATGGCAGAGAAAACCAACCCGGCCTATCCCATGGCACCGTCAAATGGTTACACAAGAAGTGATGGAGAGTCTCAGCTGTCTGCTGATGAGCTGAAACGCAAGAAGAAAATCAAATTGGCCATCTATATTACTATTTTTGTTGTGTTTCAGATCATAGTTATCACCACCATGAGTCTCACTGTGATGAAAGTTAAGAACCCCAGGTTCAGGCTAGGCAACATCAACGTCCAAAGCTTTGAATCTGTCACGGCAACACCTTCATTCAACACAAAATTCACAACCCAAATCAAGATCAAGAACTCAGCCAACTGGGGTTCCTACAAGTTCAATGCTGCCAATATCACGTTTCAATACCGAGGCGCGACTTTGGCAGGAATTGATGTCGCAAAGGGCAAGGCTGGATGGCTTTCGACCATAAAAAGAAATGCGGAGGTGAGTTTGAATTTAACTGCAATAACTAATTCAAATCTTGGAAGTGATTTGAGCAGCGGGGTGTTGACGCTCAACAGCGTAGGAAGATTGAATGGAAAAGTTGCAATTATGTTCATCATGAAGAAGAAGAAGGCTGCCAACATGAACTGCACTATTGCCTTTGATGTGGCAGCCAAGACGCTCAAATCTTTACAATGCAAGTGAAAACACAGAAGCTATCTGTAAATTTTGCGATGCAGCTTGGCCATCTCTCTGTTACATGATGTGGATTTGCGATCGATCAAGACTAGTTCTTGGATTGTGTTTTTCTTTCTTCTGTTTTTTTTTTTTTTTTTGTATGAGTGAGTGATAGTGTAATTTTATGAATAAATCGTTGCTATTATTTTCACTGGGACTCTGGTTTTCCTATTTCTACGACTATAATTCTTATCTCTTCATTCAAAAAGTTGCCCCAACTTGAATACAGTTTAAATGTAGCCCAAGTGGAATAGAACAGTGTTGCATTAATTGAAGTCATTAATCATTAAACTTGATGCTTATCAAAAGCTTGAGTCCTGTCTAAAGTTTTCATGCTGTCCATTATTGCAGAAATAGTTTTCTCACTGTAATCCGTGAGTCTTGAGTCACTGATTTGCCGTGACTAGTACAATAATTGGATAATGGCTATTTGAAGTCACATGTATGCACTCAGTGTGAAATATATCAGTGGATATTGACCCTTTTTCAAGTTCAACTAATATTAATATTAGGGGTTAAGTTTTCCTGTTTTATTTTTCTTTTCCGAAAATAGCTGAGAAATGAGAATAAGAACATAACTTGCAAAGAACGTATCACATATAGTGTTTGTGAAAAGTATTTTGTTTCAATAAACCATATTTGTTCACTAAACTTGACTGCTTACCAGTTGATGTGGTAGCGCAGATTTCGGTTTTTTATTTGTTAGAAATAAATGACGCTAATTGTGAAATCAAATTTATGTTTTTCAGACTCTGGTTTTGGTTCTGAAGCTTGCATCAATCGAAGGGACAGAGTTGAGGGTTTGGACATTGACGTTGCCCAACCTGATTTTTGGGAACTTTCATGACAGTGAGTTCAAAAATGGTCATGACCACGATTTGAAACACAACAAACAAGATTTTGACGTTTCTTGATCACTTATGGAGTAGCCATTGTGAATGCCCAGCTCTGCTGATTCTTCTCATTTATTTTGCTAGAAAGTTTTCTGAAACAAAAATGTTCTGATTTTGACGTTTCTTCATCACTTATGGAGTAGCAATTTTATTTGTAGGAACGCTGGCTTCTGCTTAGCCAAGTTGGCTTGAGCGGATATAATCCCCCCTCTGCACCCGAGTTCGAATCTCCCTCCCTGTTTAAATAAAATTGAAGTATAATATCATTTGTATACATAAATAAATAAGAAGAACGGTCAAAATGTGAATGCGTGATCTTCACTTAAAATATGAAAATTGCAGATAGTTTAATATTGTGACTTGTGTGGGAATATAGCTAGCTTTTTATATTTCTACTATTCTATACTTTGTATCAGGTGCTAATGGAGGAGTTGTATACTTTGCTAACCACACACATTCAATCTTTATTTAATCATCTATATATATAAAGCAAAATGCAGAGAATGGTAAAACATTCAAAAATACCAAAATCAGAATTGAAATTAAGAATTGAAATTATTAATTAAATGAGGATAATATGGTAAATTCACACTTTTTCATATTTTAAAAAAAATTAAAAGAAAAATCAGATAATGAATCCTATTTTTATGGAACACAACTACCCATTATCTTTTTTTAATTCTAAAATAAATTTAATTTTTTTTAAAAAAAGCCTCTCGACTCGCAAGCGCGAAAGCGCGTGCGGAGAGGCTAATATAATATTAAACAAAATATTACCTTAAAAATTACATAAGTTCCTAAAATCTGTGGCTTTGTTGGATTGGTTAGGTCCTCTACATAATAAATCATATTTAAAAATAAAATAAAATAAAATAAAAAGTTTTAATAGTTCCCACATCACGTTCTCACCTGCCATTGCAGATTTGGTCCATGAAATGCAACGGATAGAATTGAAGTTTTCTTTGATAATTAATATGTTCAACTCAAATATCAAAAGGCTAAAAGGTCATCCCTCCTCTAGAAAGTCAATAATCGCCACCTCCGCCTTTGAACGCGTTTGTTGTCGTCTGCAATAAAATTCTTCCCCTGAAACTCACAGCTTCCTGGAAACTCATCAATCCGAACGCGATATATATAACACACAACTCTTCCTTCATTACCACAAACAACTCCTTCAACTTCCAAGCTTTCATCCTACAAAACCAAACCCTCCAAACAGAGGCAGAGAAATTTTCTTTCTACTTTCATATCAGAAAACCAAAAGAAATTAACATGCCAGAGCAAAACTATCCCACCTATCCTTTAGGACCAGCAAATGGTCACACAAGAAGCGATGGAGAGTCTCAACTGTCCGCTGATGAGCTGAAACGAAAGAAGAAAATCAAAATGGCCATCTATATTAGTATTTTCGTTGTGTTTCAGATCATAGTTATCACCACAATGAGTCTCACTGTCATGAAAGTTAAGACCCCCAAGTTCAGGCTAGGCGACACCAACTTCCAAAGCTTTGAATCAACGCCTTCATTCCACTTGAAATTCACAACCCAAATCAGGATCAAGAACTCAGCCAACTGGGGTTCCTACAAGTTCAAAGCTTCCAATGTCACGTTTCTATACCAAGACCAGACTCTGGGAGAAATTAATATCGAAAAGGGCAAGGTTGGATGGCTTTCGACCATAAAAAGAACTGCAAATGTGAGTTTGAATTCAAGTGCAATAAATGGTTCAAATCTTGGAAGCAACGGGGTCTTGACGCTCAACAGCGTTGGTAGATTGAACGGAAAAGTTGCAATTATGTTCATAATGAAGAAGAAGAAGGCTACCAACATGAACTGCACCATAGCTTTTGATGTGACAGCCAGGACCCTCCAATCTTTAAACTGCAAGTGAAGACACACAAGCTACTTCGGCATCAGAGTGATCAAGACTATAGTTCTTGGATTTTTTTTTAAATTCGTTGATATTTAGTTTTTTCCCCGAGTGACTCTTGCATTTGTTGTACAACTACAGGGCTACTCTGTTCTCTTTTAATTACTAGACTGCTTGTTATTCGTTTAAACTGTGCTTCTGTTTGATTTTTGCTAAATTTATTTTAAGTACCGTCAATACATTGAAAAATTAAAAAAATGGGAACCGAAATTCGGGAAAACAATTCGGTTTTAATTATAGAAAATCATCTCTATATCTAAACAAACATTTTGCAAAACAATTTACCTTGGAGGAAAAAAACAGAGCCTTGTTGAAAATATAATTCTTTAGATTATCTCAATCAATTTTTTATCAATATTCTTTCATCCAATTTTGGGACCAAAACTGGGAAAAGTCAAAAGAGCAATCTTATGAGGACTCAGTTTACAATGGTCAATACAAATTACAAGATTAGAAAGCCTCTGCCTAAAAACATGAGGCTCATATGTATTTTAAAGTAATTAGTTAGTTAGTGCCTTTTAATTCATGATTTGATCTTAGGGAGCTTCACTAATATACCCAAAATAGAGGTTGAAATTATAAAAAAACCTCACATAGAATGCACTTTAGAAACACACCCAAAATCTATTTACTATATAAGAAATTAGTGTTAAAGTTCCTATAAATTACAGGACTGCCACTGATACCCAATAGAAAAAAAAAAACTCAAAGAACACCCAAAACAAGCCCAACCCAATTTTATAAAAAAGCCCAAATATTTTATTACAACACAAAAGTGTCTTGAAAACCGTAACTACAAGCATGCATCTTCATTAAACAATCTCTGCAAAATGTCTGTTCATTTTATCGTCTTCATCATTTATGCAAACCGAAACTCCATAACCACCATAAAGCTTGATCTACTTTCAAAAACCAACACCACACACTAACCTCCACCTACAAAACAAAGCCAAAATTTCAGAGAACAATTTCAACAAGAAAAGGCTTCAAAAGTAAGACATTTAAAAACCAAACATTTACTGTAATGTTGATTAATTGCTGTAAAGTTCCAGTATAGGGTAATAACAATATTTTAAATTCGACTCCAAGACAAAATCTTGAAACTATATTGGATTTTCACTATTGGATTGACTGCATAGGACTATAAAATAGTCGGTTTTCAGCAACTTGAAACAGAAAGAGATATTTAGTCATACAGATTCTTAACACTGTTAATTTACTGTCATGTTGATTAATGGCTGTAAAGTTTCAGTATAGGGTAATAACACTGCTTGTTTCTTATGGAATCCTATTTCTAATGCATGTCAACTATTGTGAAGTTTCAGTCTAGGGTAATAACACTCCTAGTTTCCTATGAAATCCTATTTCTAATGCATATCTACCACTTTAAAGTTCCAGTATAGGGTAATAACAGTATTTTAGATTCGAATCTAGGACAAAATCTTGAAACTATATTGGATTTTCATTATTGAACTGATTGCATAGGATTATAAAATAGTCGATTTTCAGCAACTCAAAAAAGAAAGAGATATTTAGTCATATACCCATTCTTAACACTGCTAGTTTACTATCATATTGATTAATGATTGTAAAGTTCCAGTATAAGGTAATAACACTACTTGTTTCCTATGAAATCCTATTTCGAATGCATGTCTACCACTGTAAAGTTCCAGTATATGGTAATAACACTGCTTGTTTCTTATGGAATCCTATTTCTAATGCATGTCAACTATTGCGAAGTTTCAGTCTAGGGTAATAACACTCCTAGTTTCCTATGAAATCCTATTTTGAATGCATGTCTACCATTGTAAAGTTCTAGTATAGGGTAATAACACTGCTAGATTCCTCTGCTTGTTTCCTATGAAATCTTATTTCTAATGCATATCTACCATTGTAAAGTTCTAGTATATGATAATAACACTGCTAGTTTCCTATAAAATATGGTTTCTAATGCATGTCTACCACTGTAAAGTTCCAGTATAGGGTAATAACACTGCTTGTTTCCTATGAAATCGTATTTCTAATTCATGTCTATAAAGTTCCAATATAAGGTAATAACATTGCTACCTAACAGCAAATTATAGTCAACTCAAAAACCAATAGTGCATAAACAGAAAGAAAAAAAAAACGAATATAGTCAAATTCAATTGAAAAAACATACCTCAATTAATATGATAACCAAATCAAATATCACAAATTTGTAACCACAGCTCAAACCAAAACACAAGAGCAAATCCACAACCAAACCAAATATGAAATCAATCCAAATTATAAACAAAAAGAAACTAAAATCACAATTTAAAACTCAAACGAATATCTAAATACAAAT